GGGGGGGCGCGGGGGGGGAGGGACTGCGGTTTGGTGCTGGGGCATCACTAACAAGGACTGGTCCTGGAACACTGGCCAGCTTTCACCAACCCCCCCCTCAGTACTCGTTGGGCTCCTCCCCCGGGATTCCCCCGGGGGCGACAACCAAGATGGGCAGGCGCCAGGTCAGCTTCTCGGTGGCTCCCCGCCACGGCGTGCTGCCCGGGTCCCGCATGGGGCTCTGCCCCACGGCGGTGAACACGAATCGCAGCGCCCAGCCCAGCGTGCACAGCGGCGTGCGGAAGCTGGGCGTCGCCCCGCGCGGCAGCGCCAGCTGCAGGCCCACGCTGGCGGCGTGGGGCGCCGCCTCGCGCGCCTCGGCCACGATCAGGGGTGCAGGCCACGCCCGGCCGCCGGCGCGCCAGCCGGGGGCCAGCGCCTCCTCCGCCTCCAGCGCCGCCTCTACCTGCATGCAGCGCAGGCTGCCGCGCTGCTCCAACTCCACCAGGACGCAGAGCGTGTCGCCGGGGACGAACTTGCCGCCGGGCCCGGGCCCCGGCTCGACGCCGCGGGGCAGCAGCGTCACGCGCGCCAGTGGCCGGTCGCCCAGCCTGCGAGGAAATGAAAGGGGGACGTGCAGCAATGTGGGGAGGAACAGGGAAGGGGGGTAAGGGGGTCCGTTTGCATCGGCAGAGGGCATTGATGATGTATGCCAGCAGAGTCGTGGCGGCGCAGGCGGGTTCCCCAACAGTGGCACAAAGCGGGAGCGATGTTCGCCCCCGCGCCCACGGGGTCCGGCCCAGCGATGCAACCAGGAGCACACCTCAGCGCAAAGGTGCGGGCGGGGTCCGGCACCTCGCCACCGCTGGCGGCCTTGTCCTCGCTGGGCAAGGGCTGAGCGGCATCCTCCTCGCCGGCGCTCATACGCGCACCGCCCCCCCCTTCGTCGTCGCTGCCAGCCTCACGCTCCGGCTCCTGGCGTGCCAGGGCGTCCAGGTGGTCCAGGGCCTGGGTCAAGTCGGTCCCCGCCCCCACTTCCCAGCACCGCATGGCGGGCTGGGTCAGGCGGGGGCTCAGCAGCGCCCGGAGCACGGCGCGGCCGCCCGACCCGGGCCCGGGCAGGACGACGACGGCGGCGCGCACGGCGTGCTGCAGCACGGCCTGAGCCGGCGAGACTCCAGGGGGCGAGAGGGGGGAGGCTGCGAAGGAGGACTCGTGGGCCGAGGAGGCGTCGCGGTACCGGATGATGGCCGACAGCTGGTAGGCCACCCGCAGGGCGGTCCCCATGTAGGTGGGTGGGAGCCACGACGGCAGGCGACTCCTGTGTGAGGTTTTT